AACCTCAGGAACTTTAAGATGGGTGGACTTCATCTCCCAGAATTCCCTGGCCAGCATGCTGGCCAGGGAATTCTGGGAGTTGTAGCCTAGGCATCTTAAAGTTGCCAAGGTTGAGAAACCCTGTCTTAACTCCAGAATTGCTCAGGATGGCTGGACTTGCATCATGTTTTAAATTACTGAAAGGGATTTGGAAGATTTAAGTGGTTCAGCTGCTGTGTGGACCAAACCATTGTGTTAAATTATAATATGGGTCATTTGGGGATAGCAAGTCATGTGACACAGTAACTGTATTTTGTTAATCTGAGTGTAAGATTAAGTTTGTTGAAATAATCCAACTATACAAAATAACCCTGTAAGGGAGATAAAGTAGGGCAGTGTTGAACTGTTTTTTTGCCCATGCATGTTATTGGTCCTTAGTTCTCCCTGGGAATAGTAGTTAAGTGGAAACTGCAAGTAAGGACTCATGTAAATTTTACACTGGAGAAACTGTGTGGCTCTATTTAATTTCAGGTACTCAGAACTAAAGATGAAGCAATTGGAACATCAGAGATTCTTGGAGCTCTTGATTTTTTTGGAAAGAAAAGAGAAAAAAAAGTCCATGAAGCTCAAACCGAAACACCGGAGCTGTCTAATTTGCACCTTGAAGAGGTAGCAGTAGCACCAAAAACAGAGGCTGCAAAGAAGAGAAAAGGAAATGGACAAAGCACTGAAGGGAGGAAGAAAAGGAAAAAAGGCCAAGGTAATGAAGGGGTAGCTACCCATTATCTTAAAAATATGAATTTATTTCTGATTTTCATTGAGATGTATGGCCAACCTTGATGTTTTGGAAGCTTCTATTAGTGGGCCAGCAATTCTGAAAGAATTACGCTGGCTATTTGCTGCTGAGTTCAATTTAAGATGCTGATGGTTCCCTTTAAAACCTTAAGCAGCCTGGCATCAAATACCTTTACAAGCTTGTAGATTCATCCTTGTTCTGTATTCTTAACCTCTTCAGATGAAGACTTTGTCTAAATACCTTCAGTATGGTAGAAAAGATCATGTGTCCATTAAGGAGCATCTTTGTGCATACATCCCAGCTCTGAAATACTTTTCTCAAATATGTTAGACTAATGGCAAAAGTATTAGTATATTTGGCACCAGGTCAAGACATTTTTCACAGCCCAAGTATTTTATATTACCTATATATTTTTTGCTTAAGTATGCATTATTAATGTATCTCTTTCCTTCCTTCCTTCCTTCCTTCCTTCCTTCCTTCCTTCCTTCCTTCCTTCCTTCCTGTTTTATTACAATTTTGACCTATGTCGTTTGGAGTTTATTTTGGATGAAGGTGGTTAGAGTTCTATTTTATATAAATTTACATATGAAAGTTGACCAGAACATATAGGTAACACATTTTCATGGAGTTAGAACCACCACCTAGGCCATTTGTCCCAAAATTGGTGTCTTACAAATACACGCGCGCACACACACACACACACACGGTATAAAATGTATATATGTGTATAAAATGAAGTGCAAGTCCCATTAATTCTCAACCCACATGTGTTGAAATCCACTGTACTTGAAGGAGACCAGGTTGCAAAGGCTGATATAAAATACCTTAAATGGTGGCCATGCAACAAATTAGTTTTCATTTTTATTTCAGGCTTAGGTGATGGTGTTCTTGTAACTTTCAGAAACAGTTCCTGTAATTCCTGGCACTGAAAATGATGGTATATTATGGATGTCCACTCTGGAGGCAGAACTCAACATTCCAAAAACCAAGGGTGAGAAGGAGCCCGTAGCAGAGAAATTAAAACGAATTAGACAAGAAAAGGTGGGATGCTTCTCTTTGGCATGTACTCTGAAAAGAAATGATTAACGAATGAAGATAGATGTGTGCTATTTTTTCAAAAGAATACATTGGTTGGTTTAGTTGGATGATTTTTAGAAAGAGTGAGATATATTTCACTGAACACCCCCCCCCCGAGATTTGGGTTATGAAAGATATCACAAGCTATAAAAAATGCTTAATTTCTATTATATTGTAGCCTCCTAAGTGTTTTGAAATTGGTGGCTGTGGAAGTTGTAACTAAGAGGGAGTTGCAAAATTAAAGTCCTGAGTCAGCTTTGAGGGCATGCCTTCTTTACTTTTTAATTGATGATGAATGTATGCAACACAGACATAGACACAGTGAATAATACTCAAGATTATATAGGGATTGGAGAATGTATATATCACAGGGGTTATTAAACTTTGCGGCATTGCAGCCCTCCACCACAACCTTACCCAGGCAAAACGAGGAGGAAAAGCATGGAGCCAATTCTGATTGCCCTCCTGCTTTGCCTAGGTAAACTTGAAAGGGACACCGGTAATACTGCAAAGTTTGAGGACCCTGTGATGTCTAAGAACGTGATTATTAAAAGTAAATGATCTTTCTTGCCTAACCCTAATCCAGATGAAATTACAAGTTTTATTCAAGGGGGTGGGGTTGCGTACATTAATAATTTGAGGTCATGTAGTATGAGTTGAAGGTGTTTTAGAGGAAGCTAAACAGCTACCACTTGAGCATGGTTTAACTGGTTTACTTACATATCACGGATGGTTGGGCTAGATGATCCTTGGGGTACCTTCCAAGCCCACAATTTGATGGTTCTAGCCCCTGCTGTAGCCAGTCTTAATAATTAAAATGTCTGAAGTTAGAGATATTTGTTAAATACGAGCTACATTTATTATAGCAGGAAACCTATATTTTAAGAAATCGTGCTTTTAATTAATTAATTAAGCAAATTTATACATCGCCTGTCTCACTATATAAGTGGCTCTAGGTGGCTTACAAATAAATTTGTGCTTTTATTTGTGCTTTAATAAGGCATTCATCTAAAACAGAGATGCAATTTTTATCCTAAGTTACTGATAATATTTAATATGTAAATTATATTAACTAAATAATATTTAATATTTATCTTGCCATTTCCCAGATAAATCATTTCAGAAATAAGCACAAAATCTACATTCAAGGAACGGATCTTCCAGACCCAATTGCTTCCTTTGAACATCTTGGAAGAGAATATAAAATCCACTATAAGATTATGCAGAATATTGAAGCTGCTGGATTCCAGATCCCCACACCAATTCAGATGCAAGCTATTCCTGTCATGCTTCATGTGTGTCCCAATTATATTTCACTCTCAGAGAAAATGGTGATGTGGTTGCAAGTGACATGCTTTAGGTTAGAAAAGAAGAATCACACACGTGTGCCCAGACACGTGTGCACACCCACATGTATTAATAGTCAGTTATGCATGAAGAAAGATGGCTCTGCATACCCTTGTTGCATGTGCAAAGCTGCTGATGTTTATGGGCCCTGTTCACACATGCTTGATTGGGTCATGTGAGGTTTAACAGTAGTGTGAACTACAGAATAAAGTCAGTTCTGGGATGTTAGATTTGACTATGAGCAAACCAAGTTTTGTTTAGAGTTAATCTAACTCTGCCTAGTCAATTAACTCTCTGTTGTTTGAATGTTTTAATGCAAGGTTAATCACTTCCCCTAATATCTGTGATCAAGAGAAAATCCTAGAACAATTTTGTGGAAATAAGATCCCAGATTTTTTGTTCCTGTAGTCAGCCCAGTTCTCCCCTCTGCTCCCCACACACAGTTATTTGAAGTCCCTCTTAAACCTGATTGCAGCAGTGCCAGCTTCATTTATGCTATCACTTTTTCATGCATGCATGCATGCTTACTATAACAGAGGAAAGAAAGGCAAATGATCAGAAAAACAGCAGCCTCCTTGCACTGGCTTTTTGCGTTATGGACAAGCCATCCCTGATCATGTCCCGTTGGCATTTGAAGATGGCCCGACCAGGAGACTGGACAGCTAAATTGCTCATGTATCTGGGTACTGAATAAACCCATTTTCTATGTTCATCCTATACATGAGGTATAAACTAGCCAGATACATTGAGTTTGTACAACATGCTGAGCTGCAAAATAACATTGAAAAAAATATAAATACAGTGCAGTAGCTGCCGCTGAGCAAGTATAGCTATGTTGCATTTCTCCTAGTGGAAAGATTGATGGGATCTACAGTGCAGGACTGAATTCAGGTTGATTGGCATAATTGTTGCGAATGCTTGGTGCCCTGCAGCGGGTGTTAGAAATGATTACCAGCCTGGAGAACTGAAATTTGCCTGCCTGCTATGGCCCTTTCTCTGCCACTTTTAGTGCACCGTTTAGATATTCCATGTTCGGCTGAATTTTGTTGCTTTCCTTTTGCATTCTAGAGTCGTGAGCTCCTGGCTTGTGCTCCCACTGGCTCAGGGAAGACGTTGGCTTTTAGCATTCCCATTTTAACCCACCTTAAGCAGCCCATGAATAAAGGTTTCAGAGCTCTTGTACTGTCACCCACGCGGGAACTTGCTAGTCAGGTAAGGCAACTTTAATCTTCTAAATTTGACTTAAAGACATGTTGAAATATGCAGTAGGCTGTTCAAGCGAAGCGCAATAAGAATAGCGGGGTGAGGAAGGTGTTAGTCTAGGAGCAGGAAGGCCCAGGTTCATGACGACTCCCAGGCACAGAAGTTCCCTGGGGGGGCTTAGCCCAGTCACTCTCTCTTCGCCCAACCTACACCACAGGGTGGTGGTTGTGGAGAAAAATAGGAGGAGAAAGTGTTCTTCCAGTGTTCAACTTCCAGTTGAAACCTCCAGAGAATCATCCCCCATATGAGAAGTTTGTTTGTTTGTTTTTTTATTGTACATGGTTTGTAGAAGTTGCTTTATTGTATGTTGGTGGCTACTTGTCCTTTATTATTCATTGCCCAGAGTTGGACCAGATTGCAGTAGTCTACAAATATTGTTGGTGGAGTATAAATCTAACAAAATAAATACATAAATAAATATATACCCATGTAAGTGACCCTTGCCTTATTTATTTAATGAATTTATATGGCCGCCCATCTCATATGCATGACTCTGGGTGGCTGACAGTTAAAAACAGAATAAAAACATAGTAAAACAACCAAAGTTAAAAAGCAACAGAAATAACATAATATAGCAGCCAAGAACACTCATTTAACTCAACCACAATCAAGAAACGGGTTCACCCGTACTACCAGGGCCCCAGGCTTAATGGCAAAACAAGGTTTTCAATGCCTCGCAAAATATCAGCAGGGTCGGGGCAAGTCTCATCTCTGGGAGAATGATGTTCCAAAAGGCAGGTGCTGTGGCAGAAATGGCTCTCTTTTTGGACTTTGCCAGATGGCACTCGTGCAGATGGGGTCTGGAGCATGCCTTTCCTGCTAGGTCTCGTGATGAGTAGACACCACTGGGGGGAGACAGGTGGGAAGGATAGTCACCCAACGACTATCCCCCAGCTAATGTAGCAAACCATAGTTGACCATCATTTTAAGAGTCTTTGGTCAGTATCCCAGTGAGCAGCGAAGGACTTCCATTCCCTAGTCTTCTGCTACAATGGTCCCCCTGTTGTATTTATTTTCTGTGTTTTGTTTTTCTGCCTCAGAAAATTCTCTGCCCCTGATATTTAAATCCATATTTGGGTTGTGTTCCAATAAATATGTGCCTGATTCCTCTCCCTTTTAGACCCACCGAGAGCTACTTAAGTTGTCTGAGGGTATTGGCTTCAGGATACATCTGATCCACAAAGCTGCTGAGACGGCAAAGAAGTTGGGACCAAAGTCTTCTCAGAAATTTGGTAACGTAGGAATAAACAGGGATTCGTATTCAACTCCATCTACTTGTTTCTTCTAGCTCTTCTTAACTGTTGATTTTTCTACAGATATTTTGGTGACTACTCCAAACAGACTTATCTATCTGTTGAATCAAGACCCCCCAGCAATAGATCTGACCAGGTAAAAAGGAATAGAACTCCCATTTTTTTCTCTATGCTCATATTTGGTAATATTTGCTAAAGGATGGACCTGCAATGTTAGTGGTGTTTGTAGACTTAATTAAGAAGGCCACCTGGAACATGGCAGTGGGCAGTGGTCTGATCTTACTGTCTATGTAAGACATGTATCACCTCCTAATTGCAGCCTTATGTTCTGTTCTAGAGTTGAATGGCTGGTAGTTGATGAGTCAGACAAGTTGTTTGAAGATGGGAAGACAGGATTCCGAGACCAGCTGGCTACCATCTTTCTGGCCTGTTCCTCCCACGTTGTCAAGAGAGCCATGTTCAGTGCAACATTTGCACATGATGTTGAGCAATGGTGTAAACTCAACCTTGATAATATCATATCTGTATCCATTGGAGCAAGGTGAGTGCTGGGGTTAAAGGTTGCCTCTCCCTGACTGAGGGTTGATTGCTCTTGGCAGATGGTTGGTTCTTCTTGTCTGGTCTCTACTCCAAGGGAAGTCACTTGCCCATTTGCTTCCTGCTCTGGAATCAAATTCTTCCCATGGAGTTCCATTCCTCCTCTTCCTATTCTGTGCAGTTTCCACTGCTGTTGCTTGCACTGCTGAAGAGACAAGCAGCTTTTGAGTTCAGCTGAAGAAGTTGCTTGGCTTTTTGACATGCAGTGGAAATTTCTTGGACACACCTGGGTCTTTAACATTTCTTCTGCTGTTTTTATCATGTTTCAAAAATGGCCTGAAAGTGCATCAGGCAGCACTGCTTATGACTTGCTGCATTAATCACGAGATCCAGTTTGGTGTGGTTAAAGGCACTGGGCTAGAAACTGGGAGACTGTGACTTCTAGTTCTACCTTAGGCAAGAAAGCAGTGGGGGCTTTGGGCCAGTCCCTGTCTCTCAGCCCTAGGAAAAAGGCAAGGGCAAGCCATTTCCAAAAATGTTGCCAAGAAAACTGCAGGGACTTGTCCATATAATCCCCAGGAGTCAAGGCCAACTCAAAGGCACGACC